GAAAGCCCCCCCAGCCTGTGCACAGGTGGATGAAGGTCTCCTGCTTTAAGGTGGGCAGGGTGGCTGGGGCTGTGACATTTTCCCCCCAGGGCTCCTCCCCTTCCCCATCCCCAGATCACCCTGGCTGCCTGGGCAGGTGGGCAGAGCCACGGGGACCCCTGCCCTGGGCACAGTGCCCCAGCCCCGCTCTACATGACAGGGAGGGGGCACCTGGGAAACTAGTCATCACTACAAAGATCTTTGCTTTTTAAAACTACAACCAAAAGCAATTTAAAAAAATTAACACCCTTCCCCCATCCCACCTCCCCCCATCCCACCTCCCCTCCCCCCCCAAAAAAAAAACTAGAAAAATACTTATTTTGGGTCTTGCAGGAGAGCGGCTTTTGTGTGTGGGGTGTTTTAGGCAGCTGGCCCCCCAGAAGTGGTAGGAGGGGGGCAGACACTGCTGGAACCAGTAAACTCACGTAACTGGGAAGGGCTGGGAGCAACCACAGAGGGCAGGCACCATCCTGGGGCTGGGTTCCCAGCCCTTCCCCTGCCACGCCAAAAGCTTCAAGGCAGCCCAGCGAGGGCCTGAGAGCAGGGCTGTGCCTGTGCCTTCTCAGGGCAAAGTGGGGAGGAGGTGCCCCCAGAAAGCCAGCCCAGCCACCGTGTGGGGCAGCACCACGCCAGCCCCCGCAGCCCCTGGTTCAGTGACTGCTGTTGTTCATGGACAGCCCAGACTGCAGCGCTTGAGGGAACATCTCGGCTTTGTGAAAGGGAGGCATGTAGACCGGAGGGGAGGGTGCCAGGCTGTAGCCCTGGGACGTCACTGGGATGGGCAGGGTGGTGGGCACCAAGGACTGGTTCATGTCGTACATCACCCCCTCTGCGTCGTTGCCAAAGGGCAGCAGCAGCCGTTTGCCTTTCTGACGCCGGTTGCAAAACCAGACCCGGACCACCTGCAAGGGAGGGGAGACAGGAAAGGATATGGGGCTCGAGCCTCAGCACTGTGGTTGACAAGAGACCCTGCTGCTGGGATCTCCACGGTACCCTCCCTTGCCACAGATCCTCCTGGGGCTAGACTTGGACAGGTCTATGGTAGCTACCAGCCCTGGCCACTTTCCCACAGCTTCCAGTATCAAACTGGTGTGGATGCTGCTGCACAGCTGCTTGGGCAACCACTCTGCAAGCCCTCCCACCTACATCTTTGTCTAGGTTGAGGTCCTCAGCAATCTGGGAGATCTCCTGGGGACTGGGCTTCACACACTTGCGGAAGAAGCTCTCCAGCGTCCCCTTCACATTGGTCTCGATGCTGGTCCTGCGTTTTCTCTTCCGGGCTTGGGCCAACACTTGCTCTGCATTGCACATCTGGAATGAGAGGCCACACGGTTGGTTGAAGAGCTGACAATGTTCCCACCAGGCTCTGGACACACCAGCTGGTTGCAGAGGTCTGGGAACAGGCTTTGTCCTTGTGACTCTCCACCAAGTGTCACCCCACTGTGACTGTAGCTACTCGCAGTGTCCCAACACTGCCTGCAGCTAGTGCAAGGGGAGAGGGACCTGTCTTTCTGCATCTTTCCAGACTCCCCAGGGAGCAGCAAGCTGCACTTCCAGCTCAGCTGAGACTCCAGCAGGACCTGGCTGCAAAGACAGGAGCCACCACAGTTGTCACAAGGTGCCAGCATGGCCTTTGGGCTCCCCCCAGCATGACAGAAGGTGATACCCTGAAGTTCACCCCACAATTGGACCAAAGCTATGGCAGTGAGATGCTGCTATGGCACAAGTTGCCTGCTGACACCTCCTCTCTCCCCAAAACCAGGGAGGAGAAGCTGCAGCTTGGTAGCTTGTTGGTGCGCAGTGTCCCCCAAACCCCCCAGCCCTGTACCTCTTGCATGTTGTCCGTGTTCTCTGCCTCGTTAAGCCAACGCTGCAGCAGCGGTTTCAGCTTGCACATGTTCTTGAAGCTGAGCTGGAGCGCTTCGAAGCGGCAGATAGTGGTCTGGCTGAACATCTTCCCTACATGGGCAGGGGGGGTGTCATATTTTGCCCCTGCCCCCATACCAGAGATCTTCCACTCTTTGCAGCCCCCCACCCCCAGGGTACCCCCCTGCAGCATCCCTTTTCCCTGGGGATAGGGAATCAGGAAAGGCACTCTCTCTGCTGCTTCAGCAAGGATTTAAAAGGTTGTAACACTCGTTAATAAGCAGCTGTAGCTGTTCTACACCAGCTCCTTGTTACTGATCCCTTCCAGCCTGAGTTGCAAGGAAGGCCAGGGAGCCCCCGGAGCTGGTGTTCATTGTCTCCTTTGCTAGCCGTTAAGGAGCAGAAATCTCCATTGCCCAGGTGTTCCACCCCCCTTCCAGGCCTCTCCCTTCCCCCCTCCGTTGGTTGGGCGGGCAAGACCCTCACGGGACTCTTACCGTAGAGAGTGCCCAGGGCCAGCCCCACGTCAGCCTGAGTGAAGCCCAGCATGATGCGCTTGTGTTTGAGGTCCTTAGCAAACTGCTCCAGCTCTTCCCAGGTTGGTG